TCATTTGCAAATGAGTACCCCATTTTCCTGTACATTATTCATGCTGTCTAATCAGCACCTGTGAGGTGGGATAGATTATCTCAGCAAAGGAGAAGTGCTCACTAACACAGATTTAGACAGATTTGTGAACAATATTTGAGAGTAATGGGTTTTTTGTGTATGTTGAAAATCTTTCAGATCTTTGAGTTCAGCTCATGAAAAATGGGAGCAAAAACAATATATATATATATATACACACACACACAAACACTGCCCAAAGTTCCAATGAGGGTCAGACACAAAACCTTTTTCTTGCTCAAGCAAAGCCAGGCCTGTGCTTTCAGAACAACCCCTCCCCCACCTCTCTGTGACAGTGGCGCTAGCAGTCAAATGCAAATTTGCCGGTCTCTCAGGTGTGGCTGATGTGTACTGCCACAGCATGACAAACCCCCGGGGGTCAAGAGGCAAGGAATTAACGCAAATTCTCTCCGATGTATAGTAAAGCTAGCTTGGCTGAAACCAAGACGATTTTTCTGAATGCATTCTAATAGTATGATGAACATAGTAATTAAATTATTTTATTTGCGCCCGCAAGACACGCCCCCCCCCCCATGACGGTCTCTCCCAGCAGAGTATTATTAATTAATCATAACTGAAAAGAATAGTATGTATGAAATTTTGATATATAGTTTGATATATAACCATTACGTGACATACACGCTAACATATTTTGTGACTCTCCTCCTTGTTTGTGTGATGTTTAAGTGTAATTAATGCTGATGGAGGTTTGCACTGAAGATACACCATCAGCACTACAGCATAAAATACTCGCAGCAGTTTACACAGATGGAAGGGAAGCATGGAGAAAAACTTCTAAAGTAGGAAGTATCCTGGAATTGATTAGCACCAGAAAATGTCAGCTGACTAGTCTTGTAGAGTTAGACAGATTATTAAGTTTTGATGCAGATTTTCAAGATTTCATTGACATTGATTGGACTGATGAAATGCAGGAGCTGGACAAGTTCATGCAAGCTATACTTCATCCATGTTTAATAACCAAAATTTCCAAGAAGCAAACTGACAATCAGAGCAGGTATAACACATCTTTTGTTCTTTTGAATTAAAAAAAAAAAAACTTGCTATGCCTTCTGTGAAATAAGCTTGCATTCAATGTTGTGGAATAGGCCTTATCCTTATTTTTTCTCTGTCTTACAGACGATGTAAGTGTGCTTGAACTGATACAAAATATCCTTTATCGATAAAATTTGTTAATTTAAATATTGTATGTTTTTCCATTTCAGGACGATTCTTCCTGTGTGGCAAAGATTAGCATCACTCATGGCCTGTAAAAGAAATAGTGTCACTGTTTCCATTTAATACAAATTCTCTGCTGTCTGCATTTTCAACTGGCTGAATGCAACGTCTCCTGAGATAGTTTGTTGGAAAGAAATATTGCTCTTTGCATAAATGCGGATGCAAAAACTGTGAGGACAACTGTGAGTGAACACTCTCTTTTAATTTTTCTGATCCTACTTACTGTTATTTCAGACTAATCAGACAACATCTCAGAAATAGTGTTAGTTCACCCCACCCTCGTGGTTCACTTTTTTCCAACAAATTTTTTTTCACAGGCATACGTGCACAAAATGAAACTTAATTTTCTTTTCTGACAGAAATACACAATGCTTCACATTTACCCCAACATCAATCTCTACTACTCTCCAATTTGTACACACACATTTCATAACTAGGTTCAGTGGCTAACATAGTGAGTACAGATTGTAGATTGTAGATTCTTTATTTGTCACATGTAGTTATAGCTGCTTCAACATACAGTGAAATGCTTTTTCTGGCAAAAAGTACCCCGGCTGTGCTATACATATAAAATAAATAAGTACCACAAAGATAAAGTGCATATAATATATAATACACATAAGTATCTGTGATGGCCTGAGATGGCCACAACATGTTGCAGTTACCTGGGGTGAAACTGGAAGTGGTGCATGCATTTTTTTGGTCCGACGGGCAAACGGCCAGGACGGTCATGGTTCCATTTTAATTCCCATTGGCAGTGCCAACAGGTGCCCACAGTAGGGGGGTGAGGAGCTGGGTTGTGGTATAGGTGTTTGTTATATTTTTGTTAACATTTTTTTATTTAGGTTTTTCTTTATAAAATTGTTTGTATAATCTTATGGGCTCTATGTTATGGGGTTTATTTAGTTAGTGGCATGTAGGTATAAATGTTATGGTAGTGTTCCCCCCTTGTGTGTGTTGCTGGATTGATCACCCAGTATATATGTTTCCCCAGTGTGTTATTTGTTAGGTCAGTTATGTTCAGTGTAGGTTGGGTTATGCTTTGCTTTAATTTTGGTTTCATTCTATTTGGTTGACCTCATTTTATTGGGCCCTGGATTTTCCTTTGTTGGATATTGTTTTGTATTTTGATGATTTTTGGATTTTCAGTAAAGTTTTGGTTAGTAACGAATTCTGTGCCCCTGACTCTGCTTGCTGGTCCCTCACAGTATCCATAACAGTGCACTGTGAAAGTATAAATATGAAGTATAAATTGCACTGTATACAGATTGCACTGTGAAGATATAAATCCCACTGTAGATGTGCCATAAAATGCAGATATGCAAATATTTTATAAGATCTGGAAATGCTTAGTAGAAGACTGTGCGTGCGCTGTGGTTGAGGAGGCTCACTGCTTGTGGGTAAGAACTCCTCCTAAACCGTTCAGTTCTTGACTTCAGGCTGCAGAGGCGTTTCCCAGACCTCAGTGGCCTGAACAGTTTGTAGGCAGAATGGCTGGAGGCCCTAGTGATCCTGGTGGCCCGGGATCTGCACCTTTCAGCATAGATGTCCTGCAGGGCTGGTTAATTGTACTGCCGAAAAATTTTCATCTTGGCAACAAAGTGAGTTTTCTCACTTGTGAACACGATGTAGACAAAATACAGTTTAATGATATAGATCCGCAAACTTCCACTGAAATTACAATATAAATACATGTCTAACTGTCCGCTCATCTCCTACCAGTCTTCTCAGCGCTACACCCTGCTCCACTCACAACACACCACTGAACTGAATCTAAGACATACCATACACTTTTCACCTTGTATGTTTTCACTTTACGTACATTGTCTGTCTGTAAATAAGATGTCTTTTATATTGTATTTAATCTGTGCCGTTTTGTTCTATTGTATGGTATTGTACCGGAGAGACCAACTGTCGGAAACAAATTCCTTGTGTGAGCCACACACACACTTGGCCAATAAACCTGATTCTGTCTGGAATGTTGTAGTAAAAGTTAGGAGCAGAAATCTAATTGGTTCTTGATCTTCATTCACAACTGCGTGTACTATGTATGAAGCGTTCAAATGGCCAAACTTATAAATACCACAAAATACATGAATAGTCAATAAATGATCCAATCAGACTGAAAGGGTCAACAGAAAAGGTTGTCCCAACTCTCTTAGTTATTCAGAGGTGTGTTTTGGGCGTAATATGCAGTGAACCAATTGGAATGGCACGAGCACGAGGCAGCAGTGCATGAATAAAACACCATGTTTATCTGGCAAACCAGATTGGTTTTCAGCTGAGGAAATGGATGTGCTCTTGTGTGAGGTGAAAATGCGTGAGTACATCATTTACTGGAGCACCACTGTTCCACCACCTAAGCCAGGGGTCTCCAACTCCGGTCCTGGAGAGCATGTTTATATGTCTAGGTGCATATATGTACGATCTTTGTGAGAACTATACATCTGTGAACATCTGTGATGTAGACTTCTTAATCAGGACATGCCACCACTACATCCTTAATATCCTCCTGAGACCCCACCCATTCATTTATGTCCATTGTAGTGGTCATGTTGTTTTTGCATCTATCTTTTCACGGATGTAAGGAAACATATTTATTCCTGTTGTACACTAAAGAGGACATGCTGTAAAATTAAAAATAAAAATAAATTTGAAAAAAATCTAAAATTGTAAAATGTCTTATTTCCTCCAAAGACAAATAACCTAAAATTGAAGGACACTTTTTTCCTTGGGTCTCAGGAGGATATACACAACTCATGTAAACTCTTCCTACTTGTCACCAACCGGCTATTTTAACAATTTGTAAATTACATATCCATTTTTGCTTATATTGATACTTATGTCACCTGCAACAAAGTACACTGCACTTTAAATACAAAGTTCTTACATCATATGCACACGTACAGTTTAAACCTTAAGATCATTTTCTATATTAGAACAAATTCTATATTTCTCTGTATTATGTATATATTTTATTCTTAGTTTTTTTTTTTTAAACTTGACTTATTCTTAATTCTATTTTTGATTTGCAAAGTCTAAAAGTTGTTCGGGGTACATTTCACTACATGATGTACTTGTATAACTATGTATGTGACAAAGAATCTTAAATCTTCTGTTTGTGTTTCTGTTCTTCAGTCTTGCTGATGCACATTGGTACTGAATGTTTGTCTTCAAATTTCATACACATCAGCTGATAATGAGGTCTGAGACTCAAGTGTAGACAAGTTAAATGAATTGTACTCTGGAGCAACAGCTGCAAATCACAATTTGAGAACTGTCAATCCATATTGATACATTTACCACATCCAAATCACAGTCAACAAGCAGCATCAATAGACAGAGAAGATTCGGGAAACCAGTGGCAGTCAAATTACAGCACAGAGCTGTGACAATTTAACCGGGGGCAAGCTCAGTACCTCCCAAAGGTTCTTATTCAGAGAGCTGTTTAATCTAATGATTAATGATATGCCACAGTTTTGTATAGTCTTCACACAAGGTGACACATCCTGTTTCATTCTGTGGAAGTAAAATTGGACATTAGTAGGCCCGGGAGGGGAGGCATATTGGGTCTGTTACTGTATGTTTTAGGCCTTAGGCAAGAAGAGATTGTTTTGAATACTGTGTGACCTCGCTTTGTGATAGCTGCCTGCAGTTGCCTCTGCAGAAGCTCGGACCTTGGAGAGGCAGACAGTGGGGCAAAGGGGGGGAGAAACCACTTGCAGGAAGAGACTCGAAGCCGCCCCAACTGGTGCACAAAGAGTTATAGCTTAATAAAATAGTTGTAGTAGTCAATATATACAGTATGTTACGCAATTGATCGCATCATGTTAATCATACTAATGTTAATCATACTAATCATATGTTAACCATGTATTTTCAGTGATTCAGGGACAATATGTCAATGTGTTAATCATTAATCAATGGAACACCCAAAGTGTTCAATGTGATTCAATGTCATATAATTAATATCTATATACATATCTCATGTAGAGTCTAGAAGCCGAGGCTGTCTCCAGTAAGTTCCG